GAATGCTCAAGAGTGTAAAGCCCCCACTTTTTAAAATGGGTTGTAGGCAAAAGCAGTAGGAAAGGGGTATGTGAGGTGCGATGCTGCTGTGGAGAGAATCCCAAACCCTCTGTGCTGCTGTGCTCGGGGAGCAGAGGCAGGAGGGACCGGAGGGGGGTAGTAGTGGTCTCTCTCACTGCTGGCTGGGTTGTGGTCCAGCACAGCGATACCTGTCCTGCTGGGTCTGCCAGGAGCTGCCCTTGCCTCCCACTGATTTCAGCTGGAAACGAGTGAGGGTGAGTGAATGTGGACGGCAGGGAAACAGGGCAGGAACCTGGGGGGAAAGGGTTAGGGGCATACACCTCGGCTATGTCTGCTGATGCTGGTGCCCCCTCCTCATGCCCTGATCTCTCCGGACCCCTCCTCTTGCTTTGCTGCTGCAGGCATGGATAACTTCGAGTACAGCATCCAGCTTAACGACAGGGACTGGGCTGAGTTCTTCTTGGCGTCGGAGGAATGCAACCTAGCGCCGGTCGCCCTGGCCACGGCCGAGGAGCAGTGTCTCAGTGACATTGAACAAGGGGACGGCGTGCCGGGGAGGGACTGCCGCGCCAGCACAAACGGGCAGATCGCTGCGAGGGTGGGCAGCAGGCCAGGGCCTGGCACGGGAAGCTCTGCCCCACGTGGGGTGGCTGGAGACGCCTCCCTGCGCTGGCCTGCCGGCGGGCACCTTGCCCTGCCGGAGCTTCTCTCAGGCAGCGAGGACGAAACGGACCTGGGGTCGGTCGGCAGGTTTCTGTGCGAGAGCGACAAGCCCGGCTGCCCTTCTTACGGTCCAATGCCCAGCACGCAGGGGAGGCAGCCCCCCTGTCCCCCCGCAGCCACCCTTGCTGGCCCGGCTGGTGGCACAGCCGAAAGCAGCCCAGGGCAGGACACAGCATGTGAAGCAGCAGCACCGCAGCCGCCATCGGCATCAGAGAAAGGAGCAGCCAGCGGCAGTCAGGCCATGGAGCCTCCCAGCCACCCAGCTGGAACAAGCACCCCTGAACAGGGAGGGGACGCAGGAGGGGAACAACCCCGTGGCAGCCTGGTGGCGGCACAGCCAGGGGCTCCCGTGCAGGGCAGCTCGCCAGCGCTGGCTACCTCCCCGGAGGTTTCGGCAAGGAAAAGTCCCAGCAGCGCTTCCCGCTTGGAGCCCAGGCTACGGGAACCCCCGCGTGAGCACCCCCCAAGCCCAGAGACTGCGCCCAGAGCGCCCGGCTGCCCGGCGCAGGAGGAGGCGAGTGGGGAGAAAGCGGGCACCGAGCCGAGCTCCCCGGCTGGCTCTCCAGACGTTGTGAGGCCCAAGGTGCCAGGACAGCTGAGAAAAAGCCGCAAGCAACGTGGAGCCAGTGCCGCCGAGGCAGCCCAGGGGGACAGGGAGCCTGCGGGGGCTGCGGCACAGGGGACTGGTGTACCCGCAAAGGCACCTTTAAGCTCACCGCTGTCCTCACGAAAGAGCAAAGGGAAGGAGAAGGCAGCCAAGCCAGCTCCTGTGAAGCTGGGGAGCGAGGAGGCAGGGGAGAGCAAACGGCCAGTGCTCAGCCCTGGCACGGACGAGGGCAATCCAACCGTGAGCACTCCCCCGAAGCAGAAGGTGAAGGAGCCGGGGGCACAGCCCCTGGGGAAGGCAAAGGCCACCAAGCATTCAAAGCCAGGGCAGGCTGGTGGCTTGGGTGTACGTGACAATGTGCCAGTGATTGCTGCCAGCGGAGCCAGAGCTCCTTTGGGAGAGGCATGCCAGGAGGCACCGGGGAAGCCTCTCCATCCCAAGAGCGTGGCAGCTGTTGGAGGGGATGATGCTGAGGGAGCTCATGGGGAGCCTGCAGCTGAGACCCCCGGGGAGCTGGGCCCCCCTTGCTTTGCAGCAGGGGCCTCTGCAAGGGCAGACACCCTGGACGTGACTTGGCCTGAGATGTACGACTATCTGTTCTGTGACTCCCAAGGGGAAGAAGAAGGAATGGGGAACTCACTGGAGGAGGAGAAAACACCCTTGGAAAGGGAAATATCCTTGCCTGAACTGTATGAATATTTTTTCAATGAACCAGAAGGAAAGAGGAAAAAAGTCAAGGGTAAAGACAGAAAGCGAAAGAAGTTCAGCAGCTTGGACCACGCTCAGCTTCAAAATGAGGATCCCAGCTTGGCCCCAGTCAAAGACTCCCTGGTTATCTCTGTCCCTGAGGTGTATGAACACTTCTTTCCGGATGGTCCTGGGAACAGGGCGGGCTGGAGGGGGGTTTTCTCAATCACTCCAGCCTCCGAGGTGAAGAAAGCTGTGGGGGCTTTGAAGTCCCTCCTGCAAAGGCCAATGCATCTCATCAGAGGCCAAGCCCCAGCCCCCCAGGCTCTCGTGCGGAGAGGATCTGGAGAGAAGCTCTCCCTTGTCCCGCTGGCTCCGCTGGGAAGAGGCCAGCCGCGGCCAGAAAGTTTGGACATGGCCCTTGCACTGACAGGTAAAGCACTGCTACCCCCTGCCCGACAGCCCCGGCTCGCCACTGCGCATAGGGATATGCCTCTGCCTTGCGCAGTCTCCCCTGCTCCCACCGCCCTTTGGGAAGCCCGGCAGCCAGCTCCGGCCCTGCTGCAGCCATCTCCACTCCAGCTGCAGCAGCATTAAGGGCACTGTACAGATGGGAACATCTCGGTGGGCTCTGCCAGGCGTAGCTGGTCTGAAATCACACTCCTGGCACGTTGCCTTGCCACGCAGCAGCCCTGGGCTTTAGCAGGGATATTTGGAAGCGTGGCTAAAGCCACCACCATGGCATGCTGTGTCGCATTGGCGCTGTCTTGTGATGCTCACGCTGTCCCTATGCCAAGTGAGTGCTGCTGGCCAGGCCCCGCAGGCTGGCTCCCAGTGCTGCAGGAGGCATGAACAGGGAATCTGGGTATATTCTGGGCATAACTTGCTTTGCTCCCTGCAAACTCCAGTCTTGGGGCAGAGGCAGTCACGGCAGCATGCATGCAACAAGCTGAAACACAGGCTGGCCCAAAGTCCCTGTGCTCGCTGATTCAGTTTTTCCCCTGAATGGATATAACTTACTGTGGATCTAATCTATCCTTTTGCACTCTGGCCAAGAAAAACTTGCTGAAGCGGATAGCTGCATTAAACACGGCTGGTGTTATTGCAAGGTCTGGTAGAGATAGGAATCCCCCATCCCAGTGCCATCCAACTGCCTGCAGAACCACATGCCTGTATTTCTGATGAAGGAATGGGAGGCAAAGCAGCAAAATCCTTCTGTACCAAAGAACTCATGCCCCCAAGATAAGGCAAAGGCTGCTGAGCTGCTGTCCTGTTAAGGCTGGGCTGCTAGCTGGTCTAATAGTGATGGGGGAAAAGGTGTGCACAGAGTGGAACATGTCCAAGGCTTCCAGCTGAAAGAGGTGAGGGGGACTTTAAAACACACACTAGTTTGAAAAACACCCTCCAGAGACCTCAGAGGTTGCCTGAACATTGACTGTTACTGGAGGCAGGTAAGAGAAACAGGAATAAAGGGAGAGCAAGTGGGACCCACTAGGACAGCCAGCGTATTTATCTTAAAGCTTGTGTGATGCTTACAGCCACAGTGCCTCACAGTTAATATTAAAACCAAACAATGAATGAGTCATCCCAAAGGGTGCCTCAAAATAGAGCTTCCAGTCTGTTTGCACAGAGGAAAAACCCCTTTGCCATGGTCATAGCTAATTAATAAGCCAGCTTTAATTAAAAGCCTGATCAAATAAATAGAGGAGCAAAAATAACCTACTCTTGCAATATGTCTTTAAGTTGTGCTAGACTGTTAAGTCCAGCGGAGAAAGAAATGCAGAGCACTCAGGGCTGTCTCCCTCCCTGGTCCTAGCAGGCAGCGGGAGTGAGGTGGGATCCGCGGAGAGATGCTGAGCACGGGGGCTATGTGTGGTACTAGAGCTGCACGCGTCTCGGGGCATCGTCTTGCAGGGAGGGGACTCCAGAGCGGCCCCAGTGCATCGGCAGCCAGCTCAGGAATTGCTCTCTCCTAAATCTGCTCCCTGCTTCCAGCCGCCCCCCAGGGGTGCGCGGGGAAGAAATGCAGGGAGGTGGTGGGGCAGTCAGAGGTCCTGGAGGCGGCATGTCTGCTGGCTGTGCCTCCCAGCCCCACAGGCAGCGTTACCAAATATTTGCCTTGGGCTCTTAACAAAGTGTAAAACTGAGAGGCGTGAAAAATATGCCCCTTTCCTTAGGAAACATACCTGAGTCCTGAACAGACTTGTTTGACTTGACCAATGGTAAAAAAAAGGTCTTCTGGGAGGAAAATGTGTGACAAAGATGTATTTCTCTGGGAATGCAAGGGACTCGCTGCCCCAGAGGGACTGGAGCCGGCTGTGGCAGAGCAGGCGGCGTAAAACCCCAAGCCTCGTGCTCTTCTTCTCGCAGGGAGGCCCGAGGCTCCGCTGGCGCTGACCCACAAAGACATGTGCCTCGTCTTCTGTGCCTTTGCGTCCTGGGCAGTGAAGACCTCTGACCTGCAGGCTCCGGATGCCTGGAAGACCGGTACGTACGGTGCCCAGCCTGGCGGGAGAGGGGTGGGAAGGACCTTGTGGAAGACATGGCAGGGAGAAAGGCAGGGATGCTAACACACCTAACAGTGCCTGTGGGAAAATGCAGTCATTTTCCTGCTTTTCCAAAGTGTCCTGTTACTTTCTAATATCTTGTCTCTCCTATAGAAATGGCAGTTCTGATTCCTACTCACTTATCTTGTCCCATCCCCACACAAAGTGGCTGCTGCCTTGAACTGAGCCATAGGACAAGTCTGTATTCCTAGCTTTGGCCCTGCTCCATCCAGCCACTGACAGGGACCAGCACCAGTGTGTCAGGGGAGAGAGGCTTCTTTAGGATCTGTGCTGGCTAGAAGCTGAATCAGGACCTCGAGTATGCAGGTTTATACTCCTTCGTCTCAGCTGGAACAAACGCACATGTTTTTCTAACGTGCTGTAAAGGTATAATCTTTTTTCCACACACAGCTTAGCTGAAGTATTATCCTGGTGCACTGAGTCCTGCGAGTAAACGGAGCTCTGTGGGTTCCGCTCCTCTCTAACCACAGCATTTGAATAACTGGTGGGGAGAGAGGAAGCTCGGGCAGCACGAATTAGCTGAGCTGTGGCCCAAGGGGTGCGGGTCGCTGGATGAGCAGGGCACGGGACAGCAAGTACAGCAACCCTGCCCTGGCTGCGCCAGCTGAGTGCGGGGTCCTGCCCGTCGGCACCGGAGAGCCCCCGCCGCGGGGCGAGATGCCAGGGCCAGGGCTTCCTACTGCTTGTCCGGGGCAGGAATGTTCCCCGCTAAGGTCACACAGGAAGCTGACACCCGGGCTGAGAATAGCTCATTAGCTAAAGTTGCTCAGCGCAATCATCACAAGGAGCTTTTGGCCTGCTCCTCCTTGCCTTCTTAGTATTAGACCGTAGACGTGGCCTCAGAGAGGGTGCGAAAAGCGGGATATGGGCCTCGTGCCCTCAGGATTGCGTAACCCAGCGTGCAGTAAGCACCCCGGCGAGGAGGGGAGGCAAGAGACGGTTTGACATCCTGGACTAGCAATTCTCTTTTGGCATTTTACGTTCAAACAAGTTGAATGTCTCTGTCTATGTCTCAGGCTCTAACACATAAATCAAAATCAAGTCTGAATTTAAACTGGGAAGTCCAAAGGCATGGCTTGGGTTCCCAGTTTTGCTTGGGAACAGAGCAGGGGAATTTGACCTCTCTTGTAAGCCAAGCTAAAAACATTAGCTGGAAGTACAGAGAAGAGCTTGATTCTGTGTATAATCTCCATTAGTTGTTTTTTGTATCTCTACATTGTCTGATTCTGGGGTTTGGGTATTTTCTGCCTTTGGGTGGGATCAGAGTATCCACAGCTAATCCACAAAACGGTATCTTTCTTGGCATCTTCCTGGTCCAAACAGAAGTAGAAAATGAAGGGACTGTCCTGAAGCCCTGGTGAGATTTTCTACTGTGGCCTTCTCATCCGAGATTAGATCCGTTAGCTCTCTATGTGAACCTGTATATCTAACCACCACCTATCTCCACCACACGCGTGAAGTCCATGCTGCGTTTCCCTTAAAAACAGATGTTTCTTGTGAAATGGTGGTGTGATCCGTGTGCCCAAACTATAGGATGAGATGTGGTCAGCCAGGCTGTGGGCAGCTCAGGACTGAACACACTGGGAACAAGCACAGTGTGGGGGGGATGAAGAGCAAAGGCAGGAGGGGTCTGAGAAATGGAGGGGAGCGAACCCCTAGGTCCGGTCCAGAGTGAACCTTGTGATCTTCAAGTTTGGAAAAAGATCTTCATGGTTGGAAGAAGCACCCAGACTCACTCTGGAAATGTGTCGGGCTCTTTTCCAGTGTTCCTGGCAAGTTTTGGCACACTTTCTGCCATCCGCTACTTCCGAAGGCAGGTCAGAGAAGGACACCCCCGGACCTAGGCTCAGCGCACACCGGAGGTGCTTCCCGAGGACAGGCGAGGACGGTGGAGGCAGAGGCCGGGGACTTTGTTCTTGGGCAGTGTGAGAAGCCTGGATCCCACACCAAGACTTCTCTGGACCCATCCCTAAAGGGGAGAGGATGTCACAGGAAGCAGGATCCTTCCGCTGACAGTCATTTACAATATGGTAGGCAGTTTGTACCTGTACTGGACAGAAGAGGAGCCCGGCGTGGGCTGGCTCTCTTCTTTCTTTGCACACTTCTTGCATACTTGTGCTATCTCCTAGGAGTAGTCACAGTGTCTGTTCCAGGGCGCTGCTTGTCTGTCCTCCCTGGTGAAGTCACCTGGTGGCAAAGGAAGGCATGGAGGCAGTGGAGGGAGGAGAGAGCAAAGGAAACCAGGAAAGTGCTTTGTTCCTATGAAAGGGTTGGGGTATCTGTGAAGGAAGAGAGGAGAGAGCTTTGGGGAAGAGCTGTCTCTGTCCAAACATGGCGCTTTGCTAAGCGTGTGCTGGCTGCATGCAGCTAGCTGGGCAGCAGCTAAAGGGGGATGGAGGGGCCACGCACTTGGCAAGGCCCAGGTCTCCCATGACCAGTTTGGCTCACTGCAGGAGGACTCATCCTCTTGGATTTCACTCCAAGAAGTCACGGCTCGGTCTAACAGTTCAGGAGGCTGAGACAGGGTTTCTGTTGCATGTGGCTGCCTCAGCCCTGCTGAGCCAGAGCCGCAGATGCAGTGTCTGTTGCTGCAGGTGAGGAGCACCCACTGCAAGGACACATCTCAGTCCCATCGGCAGAGGATGGGCAGGTGCCAGGCAGCCAGAGCCGGGGAAGGGGCAGCGGGGAAGGGCCCTGCAGGAGGCTGCGCAGGACGGAAAGGGGCTGCAGGGGCAGCAGGGAAAGGGGCCAAGCTCAGGGAAGCCTCAGGAAAGAGCCCTGACAAGGACGGGAGCATGTTGGAGAGGAGGAAGAGGCACATGTGCATGTTTGGCTGCTGAGCAAGCGCCGCCGCAGATGCAGTGTCTGTTGCTGCAGGTGAGGAGCACCCACTGCAAGGACACATCTCAGTCCCATCGGCAGAGGATGGGCAGGTGCCAGGCAGCCAGAGCCGGGGAAGGGGCAGCGGGGAAGGGCCCTGCAGGAGGCTGCGCAGGACGGAAAGGGGCTGCAGGGGCAGCAGGGAAAGGGGCCAAGCTCAGGGAAGCCTCAGGAAAGAGCCCTGACAAGGACGGGAGCATGTTGGAGAGGAGGAAGAGGCACATGTGCATGTTTGGCTCTGACACTCACCAGATGAAGGGTCTAGGTATATCACTTGGTCCCTCCGCTGCCTCCCATCCAAGAGACATAGAATTGGGTGGGAGTAGACATCGAGCGAGGAGGTGCTGTGGCTGAGTGCGTAACCTTGTGGGGCTGGAGAGGGCCGGAGGGGACCCAGGATGGAAGGTGGGGTGAAAAATGAAAAGGAAGTGGTTCGGGTTCTTCCCTGTCTCTAGTGCCTTCCTGATCACTCAAGGGCATTATTCATGAGGGTTTTTCTTCACTCCCAAGTCTGATAACAGCACGAATGTGAGATCTGTTAAGCACTTAGGGACCAGATCCACAAAGGTACTGGGGGAAATCTGCCCGGAATACCTGTGCGGATCTGCCTATGAGCTTTATAGGAACAGTCTGTGGCAATGTTTGTCTTACGAAATGAGGGAGAAGAGGTTTAGCTCTTTCCTTGTAATGCAGTGCCATGCAATTTTAATGTGTGTGGGGTTGTACTTAAGACCATGTATTATTGCTGATAAGAGAGCTCACTGTACAATTGTACAGGGAGATATGTAGCAGTAAATAGCAAGAGAGAGAGATGTACAGGCTCTATATGGACTATAGTAGCTGTATATCCAGTAAGTGGAGTTTTGTGGAGGAGGAGAATAGATAAAATATGCTGGAAGCTTCTAATAAAGATCTATCTCATTTAATACTTTTGTGTACATTCCTGCGTCTACATTGTTTGTGTGTGAAACTGTTGAATGAGTACTGAGTTTTAAAGAATGAGAAATCAATCCATTATGTGTCTGTTGATACAAAAAAATGTAGGAGTTGATGTGCTGGCAGAGGAGCCCTGGAGGACAGAGTATGCAGGGAGATGGGCTGCTTCTCCTCTTCTTTGGCTCGGTCCCCATGCCTACCCCTCTGAGACACATCTTGGCTGTCGCACGTCGCTAACAGCCTGATCCAGAGCGCCCTGCCCTCTCTCCTGCCTCAAAAGCACTCAGGACTCAAGCAGAGCCCCGCTCTTGCCAGCCCTCCAGCCAGCTCCTCCCAGGGGCCCCCGAACAGATGAGTGAGCACAAATCAATGCACAGCAGCAGCTCCTGGGTTCGGTCCATCGATCCTCATCGCCTCTGCCCTCCCCAGTCCCCCTCAGTGCAGCCAGGCTCCGCATCCTGAGCTGCAGCCAGGAACGCCTCAGGCCCTGAAAGATTTGCCCAGCAGACCCCGCTCCCTCCGACGAGCAGGAGCACGGCAGGCACAGGGGAGGCTGAAGTGTTCGCATGTGCTCAGTTTTACTGGTTATCCAGCCATAATCCATTAAGCGCCCTCCGCATTCTCAGTGGCAGGTGGAAATACAGCAGCCTTGGCATGGCGGGTGGGTAATGGGGGAACAGCTGGAGGAAGCAGGCAATTTCATTATGCCGGGCTTTCCTGGGAGACTGTCACACCGAGCCGAGCAAAGCAGAAAAAGGTCAGAGGAGGGCAGCAGACAGGTTTGCTGAAAGGAAAGGGTCTCGGGGGCTGCCAGCTCCTATCTTGGGGGGCTCTGGCTCTTCATGCCTAGTTCCTTGTGCAGAGTGAATTCCCCAGGGTGAGGGATGTGGCTAAATCCTGAACTGTCACTGCTGACTTCTTGCTTGTTTGAATTTTTCCGATTTTATGTTTTCTAGCCTTATCACACAAATCTGGAGGAAGCAATGTTTTCCCTTCACTTCGCGGGTGCAGGAACAGTTAATTTCCCTCCCAGCCATGCACAGTACTCCCAGGTGCACTGCTGGCGGTTAATAAACGATTGTGCTAAAAGTCACTGAATTTAATACTGGGCAAAATGGTTGGGAGAGCTGTTTTGGTTTGTCTCAGTGTCTCAGGGATGACAAAGTTGGCCTGAAGATCTCACTGGAACCGGGAGGGTTTCTGGCCAGAAGCCATAATGTTGAAGGCACTTTTGATGACATCAGCCCCTCCAGGGAGGTTTGGATGGGGCAGGGCTCAGTGCTGGGATGTGGGGAGTCTGCATGTACCCATGTCAGCCAGATCTTTTCTAAGCAATGTCCTTACTTTGAGGACCTCATCTTCCCTGGGGAAGTGGTTTTTGCTCTCAGACGCTCCCCACAAGCCAAAGCTGCAGACATTTGCTGCAATGGGGGTGCTGCCAGCTCAGCTCACCGCCTGGGCGCCTTGAGAGGGATGAGGAAGCTCAGTCAGTTGAGGCTGGGCTGGAGAACTTCACCAGGAATGTATAGCTGCTAAATTGCTGCTGGGAAGAGACTGATGCATCCTCTCCTGCCATTGCTTGAAGGCTCTGTGCATGGGTTTTGCAGGAAGCCGACTTGTTCTGCTGCTTGTGGGCAGTCAGGCTACAGCCGGAGACTACCCTCAGTTCTCCTGAACTGCACAGGGCAGGCACGGCACTGATGGGAGGCTGCAGGAAAGCTGCTGGGCAGACAACTAGTTTAGGAGTGGTTTGGGTGCAACTAGTAATACCAGATACGATCCAGAAAGGAATCAGACCTAGATGCTGCAAGAAGCGGGAATGGTAGCCTCTATCCTAGTGTTCAAAAACTCGTGCTAAGTTTCTTCCCAGGAGAGATCAGCAGTCATGTTCTGCTGTAGGTAACACGAGGGGCCTGTCACCTCTACCAGCGAGTGCCCTTTGCCCATCTGTGATAACTGGTGTCTGATCCTTTAGAGCGTGGGCTTGGAGACGTAAATGTGATTTGGCACCTTCCCCTGCTAGCAGTTACTGAGTGACGATCCACCAGGTTAGAGGTGCCTTTCACACTCCTTTTGATCTCTACTGGAAGAAGTGGATGAGATAAATATTTCAGAAGATAGATGTTTTCAACCCACTGCAGAAGCAAAAGGAAATATTGAAAGATCTTGTTGGTATCAGGAGATCAGCTCTGGGAATGTCTATGGTGCTCGGCTAAGCAGCGGTGTCTCTAGTGTCCTTCACTGAAACCAGCCTGGGCTTGCCTGCAATTTTAATGCTTGGTTTATTCACTGAACTTTTAAGCTCTCTCTCCCTCCATGGCGAGGTCATCTTGCCTGTATCTCACTCCAGAGAAAGGAGCCAGGACCTCACCATCTTTTGCAATAGCAGCAGCCACCACAATAGAAATGACCTTTTCAGTGCATCCTTGCTGCCGTGAGACTGTTTTCCCGTCACCAAAGAGAGTGTCAGCGCTGGAGGTGGGAGCCGTGCCATCCCACCCCACTTCCTTGCCTTGCACGTAGCTCCCACATCTGACACCTTGTCTTGCCAAGCAGATGAAAAAGTCAGGCAGGTGCACCCTCGAGAGCTGCCTCCGTATTTTATCTGGCCTTGATACGTCCTGTGCCGCCCGGCTGCCTGGAAGAGGACTGCCTCTCTCCCCCCTCTTCTGCAGCAATCAGTTTTGCCAGAGCAGCTCCTTTGCTCTTATTTTTGCTTCATCTCCCTGTAATAAAACCAGAGCAAAACTTCCCGTGGACATTTCTGCTAGGCCATTTCTGAGTCATGACTGTCCTCTTCCCGCACTTCAGAGAGATTCCTGAGGGCTCGTGGTGCTGTGCCAGACCCGGGTGCCAGCGCAGGCAGGCAGCGGGCAGAGCGGAGGGAGCAGTGACCTCCCTCTTATCTAGGACTGACAGAAATGCCAGTTGCTTCGGTCGGCGGGTCCATGATAGCATGACATATTTTGGTGGATTCCCCCACCCACAGGGCAGTGAGGGAGTTGCTCATCCCAGACTAGAGCAAATCCTGCACATCCTCACCTCCTCAAGGGCTCTGCCAGGGAGGTGCTGGGTTTTCCGAGCAGGAACAGGGAACAGGTTTGCCCAGCAGGTTCTTCCCCAACCTCAGCCATGGTTTCAGGCAGCCGACGGGAAGAGACACGTTCATACAAAGTGCTCACCAAGGAATTCCCAACCCTCGAGTGTCTTTGCAAATACAATAAAAAGATCGGCACGTCCACGCACAGCGGAGGAGCGGGAGCTGGCCAGGCGGGCTGCTTTGCTGCAGCAACACCGTGCCTTCGCTTACGGGGGCTTTTTCTCCAAACTCCTGAAGCCAAACAAGCAGGTGACAGGCTCCACTTTCTTTTTTAAAAACACCTCTCTGCTGTTTATTCTTTGAGCAGAAGAAGTTTGAAATTGTGGAAAGCAGAAAGCAGAGAGAAATACAGCAGCCCCTGGTGTTTCAATAACTGCTCCGGTTTTTCCAGCTATGGTTTCAGAAGGGGGGACCTGATTCGGGACTTTTAGCACTCGGAGGGAGTGGCGGGGTGGAGAGATCATTTGTCAGAGAGTGAATTGTTGGCAGCTAGTATCATCTCATGGCTTTCATCTGCCTCTGTGAATAAAGACGCAGCTATCCTGTGACCAAGCTGAGCAGAGGAATGTGTGCGGGCTTGCTGGCAGCTCCAGCACACTGGACCTGCAGTTTGCGGGTGACCTGGTTCAGACCCTATTTCTGGTGCGGCCAGGCTGTGAAAGATGAATACATTTTTCAGGAAATGAAAGGTATTTTGTGTGTTTACAGGTACTACAGTTTCCATTTTAATGCAACCTGCACCGAGACGTCTAGTGCCACTTTAAGTAAGCCCTCTATTTTTAAATCCTGAATGTGTTGGAGGAAAAGCAAGAGAGCATGGCTGTTCACGGTCACAAGGCAGGTGTCTGTGAACAGAGCTCACAAACACAGCCCTCTTCCCACCTGTGATGGAGCCGCCCAGGTCAGCACCTGGGTAGGAAACCATCAGGGGAAAACCAACAGCCAGCAAAACCAATGACTCGACAGGGAAACCAGGCTGGGCTGAGGAGCTGGGGTGTGGGTCTTGACCGATCTGATGCTTATAGGGGCTGGTTTGGAAATATTTTAGGGCTTGTACACACGCATAAATTGCTCTGCATTAATTATACCAGCCTAGCAAAGCTGTACAACCTTCTAAAGTAGGGACAGATAGAGGGAGAGCAGGACGAAGTGCTTCTTCTAGGGGAGCTAAACCCAGCTGGGAAAGCGTGTAAGTAAAACTCTTTTAGCTACTTGTATGGCAGGGGCTGTGTAACCATTTCAGCAGCAGTTTGTTACCACAATCCTTAATTCCCTCAGGGTAGCAGTGAAGAAACAGCCGGGAGCAGGCGTTAGTGGTCAATGGGACAGCAGCATTCAGGGCCGGGACACTCAGGTCCTGTTGCTCTCTCTTGGTGCAAGCCCGTGACCGTGCCCGTTTGCTAAAGGCACGCTCGCATTTCATCCCGAAACGCTATGTTCTGCGCCGGGCAGCAGCTGGAAGGAGCTACACTCTGCCCCAGAAGTACAGCAGGAACAAGGCAATAACTCAGGCACAGACGCACGAATGCAGAGATGAAGTTCGGGACCTGAAATAAGAGCCAAACAGACCACGGCAGCTGCGCACAAAGGCGTGCTGGAAGCGTGAGAAATGAGCAGCCTGCATGTTGAAAGGGCAGCATTTGAAAGAGTGACAAATTTAGCCCAGATGTAGGCGGGGAGGAAAGTTGCCACTCTGGGAACAGGATTGAAACTGCTTTAGAAGCTGTGTCATGTCTGCAGCGTTTTGAAATCAGGGTCTCGCACCTTGCAGGTGGGAGGTGGCCCTGTGCACGTGTGCATCACTGTCACTGATCAACGTGATTGCACGTTGCAGCTCGGGAGAGCTGCTCACTGGGGGACAGATACACCGGGCTTCTGCAGCCAACCCATCTACCTCTTGCCTGGTTATTCAGTTTCTTGAGCACCTCTGGCTGCAGCACAAATACCTGCCATCTTTCCAAGTGCTAGCGCCTTCCAGCTGCGGGTTGCTGGCTTGCACGGAGCTTGGGAGGGCAAGCCCTCTGCCTGCCCCGCTGCTCCCAGCCCTAAGAGATTACTGAACTTTAAACTGAGGGCCATATCCAGTTCCTCACTGGTCTTCTCTGCAGAATAACTCTGCAGAGGCAGCCAGGACACCTGGTTTTCTGCCCACAGCAGATGCAGGGACAGAAGTGGCCTACGGGCATCTGGATGCAGTCCTGAGGACGATATTTCCTTGCCAAGCAAGCCCCTGCTGTGGCCATCTTCCCTTCCCAACCGGCTTTGTTAGCGGCTGCCATGAAGTGAGGTCAGACTGACAAAAGGGCAAAGGCAGAGCCAAACCCTGCACCATCTGCAGCCCGCGGAGGGCTCAGCTCCATCTCTGACCCGAGCACTGGGGCTGGCCAGTGCATCCCACTCCCACTAGCCAGTGTGGCTACATAGCAGAGAGCACAGGCCATCCCGAGTCAGAGCATGGCACGGGCATTCCCAGCTGCACAATGCATGGAGCCATTCGGAGTCACCGAGTTTTACAGAGCGCCTTTCCAAGACCCCCAGAACACAGGGCTGAAGCAAAGTCTGAGCAGCTTTGGCATTAAACCTCTAGCCAGGTCTCGTTGCCTGACAAACGCAGGCGAGACTTTGCTCTAGGATTAGGTTTTTACAAGCGCCTGACCTGAACAAGAGACAGCACTCTGGAAATCCTCCTGGACCCAGGGACCCAAAGTCCTCACGGGAGGAAAGGACAGCAGCAACGGACAAAAATTCACCTTCATTAAACCAGATGATGGCAAAGAAAGAGAGAAGAAAAGTATTCCAGAAGAATGTGTATTGCAATTGTCCAGTCCGACAGAAATCCACCAGGGAACTTTTACAGCGACAGGGAGGGGCTTTTCCCTTTGGATACATTGCAGATATCCCTGTTGAAGCCCGATTAAAAAGATCATGGTGACCATCTTCAAAGTCAACGTGTTCATAGGAGCTCATGAGCACGGCTGCCTCCCAGCATACTATGTGCTTCTGATGTTCCCTAGTGCAATTTTGTTCTGAATAAATAGATCCTTTGGGGGTTATTAGATACAAATCTTCTAAAATGAAAGTAAACCTGAAACAATACAATAACAGCTAGAAGACCCAAACCAACACACACATGAATGTGCAGACAGCTGCCCATTCTACAGTACTGAACATCATCCACAACTACAAAATTAAATAGATCTTCAACTCTGCCACATTTACACATTAAATACATATAATCCACTCAAACCTTGCATGTAAACTTTGTTGGATACCTTAAAAAAAAAAAAAAGTACAACGTAATACATAGATATTCAAGTACAAAGAGCTCCTGGATTGTTTTGTGAAAGAATGAAAATAGAGATTTTGTTAATGTTTGGTTTGCAGCCTCTTTAGGGAACAAAGGTTAAGGATTTAGAGCCTCAGGTAAAAACATTTGGATTTGCTGCTGACCTTATATGTGCTAAAGGATCTGGCCTAAGAGGCTGGAAAAGATAGCACCGAGACTCTGTCCCCTCTTGTTTGTGTCATGCTGCTGCTCTGGAGCGGGGAAGAGAGAGGTGGCAGCCCACGCTGGCACTGCTCTGATCCCTGGAGTGTTACGGCTGTACTGGAGTTTGGCTTGTAGCGAATTTTCTTCCTTCCCTCCTTGCCTAGATATTCCTAGGCAGCGTTTAGTGCGGGTCCAGTAATGTGCAGAGGGGTGGGAGGAAAGGACGCAGTCCTGGAAGAGGAATCTAGGGCATCCTTTCCAGGGAAGACCTTGGTAAACACAAGCCATTTGGCATATTTGCTGGCAGCACATTTCTTGATTCCATCTGCCAAGGTGTCAGGCTCATACTATTGCAGGTTTGGAGCCAGCACTGGCAGGAAAGAATTTTTTGCATAAAGTGGAAAGAACATCCTATTCTGTCCAGATCTGGATTTTTTGTCCATCTCTGTCAGATAACTCTGATCTTGCAGGAAGACAATCCTATGCGCACAGCTATTGCTACCAACTTTATATGCTATGATGAGGCACGTCTCATGCATCTTTGCAGACTTCAGAGCTCAATGGGGGAAGGTTTGGCTTAACAGCTGTTCTCGGGGATCAGTGGATCCTCAAAATGACCAGCCTGAGGGCTCTGGTAAAAAGGAAAATGATCAAACTAACCCAGCCGAAAACCAGCCCTTTTCTCTGGCCTTTGAGTGACTGCTCCATCTGAACACCCAGTCCCTTTTATCTGAGGGAGCCTGACTAGTTTTTTGTTCTTCCTTTTATTTTCAGGGGGGCAATGCTGTTCCCCAGCCAGGGCTCTCCAAGCCGGGGCAGCCGCAGGCTGCGCTCCTTAGCACAGCACACATGCTGCTCCGCCGGGTCCGCAGAGGCTGTCGCTTTTGTGCTTTATCCCCATCCTCAGATTTAGGGGAGAAGTTTGAACTCTGGACCTGCCGGGACATGGGAACCAGCATTTCACAGAGCAGGGTCCTTCCCTGTGCTTTGTACGTCCCAGGCTCCTTACCCTGGAAGGAAGCCCAGTGAGAAAAGAGCCCGGGGGCTTTTCCGTGCCTGGCTGTGGAAGCCTTCCCTCAGGCCTGGTAAAACTGCTGGCCAGGAGCTGGGGAGGCACGCGGGGTGCCTGGCTCCTTCGCCTCGGCTTCCCACAGGTTGTCATAGCTGAAGTCGCTCTGCAAGCTCTGGAGCTCGGCATAGTCATGGTAGGCTGCGGAGTCGCGGTGTGAGCCGCTGGCATCCGGCAGGTCGTAAGTGCCGAAATTCCCATCTGCAGAAAACCAGACCGAAGCGCTGAGAGAGCTCACGAGCCACCCAGTGGCTGCCTTCTCCTTCGCCAGCAGAGAGAACGCACGAGGGTCAGCAAAATCGCAGCCCAGAGGCAACCAGATCTGGGCAAAGCGGCGGAAGCCGCAAGCGTGCCAGAGAACAAACCACGAGCCCGCACGTGTGAGGGGTGGCCAGAGCTCGTGGGCAGCGAGTGCAAGCCAAGGCAACGGCCTCCACCAGACGGACGCAGGCAAGGGGCAGGGTGACAGACTCGGTCCCACCACGAGGAAGCAGGAGGAAGGGCGGGCATGCATGAGTCCCCACACTCCCGCTCAGCCCTGCTTTGAACGACGCTTATGGAGACAGACACCGGCGAGGCGGGGTGGGCTGCAGCACCCAAGCAGCCCCCCGAGAGTCTTACCTGGTGGCTGCAATGAAGGGCCCAGATGTTCCTCTCGCAGAGAAGAGACCTGGAAAGAAAGAGAGACACTGATAAGGGTGACTTAGCACTGCAGTCCTGGGATATCGCACGCCAGGACTCAGCTCTCTGTTGGTTCCCCCATCCCTGCTCCCCAAGATGCACCCCATCACAGAGCAACAGGCTCAGAGCCCTGCGGTGACTGACCACTCTCCCAGCCCAGAGAAAAGCAAGCTGGGACCCCTGCACCCCCATGTATTGCCCTGCAGCCTGCACAGTGCGGGGCACTAGGACTGCATTTACAAACTCACATCTGCAAGATAAGAAGCATCAGCAGGAGGCTGCAGCTGGAGACGGCAAATGCCGGGCAGGCTGTAACTCAGAGCTGCAGGCACCTCTCTGCAGTGACTGCTGGGCAGGGGCTGGCAGTTTCTCTTCTGCAGAGAGAGATGCTGGGGTACCAGGACGGCTGGGCATCCGTTCGCCTGTGCCGAACCCGTCTGCCCGTGACACTGCAGGAACTTAACCAAAACAAACTCCAGATTTGATACCTGCTATGGGGAGCTGGGGAACACTGACCTGCTGCTTCCCACCTGTAAGCCAGCCCTGCTGTGAACAGACTTAGGCAAACCAAGGTTTTCTGCCTACCTTGCAAATTCTACTATGTTCCAACTCTGAAGGCCTTAGATGGGAAAGGAAGAATGGCTGCGGGTCCCTTGCAATGACCCACAGAGGCAGTGGAAGTTGGCCAGATGTGAAGATGGTAGGATGGAAACTACTGGCAGCTCAGGGGACGAGGAAGGACAGAGAGCAGTCAGGAAGAACCCTCCGAGGGAAGGGAGGACTTCAGCAGTATGGTGGATGCCAGCCACAGGCTCAGAAACAGTCTTTTCCCAAGAGATGTGCAAAACTAGAAATGTGGCCTTTAATAGGCACTCAACTATCTGGAATTTTTTTTGGGGGTGGATAGAGTGGTCTCTGTGTCTGAGTCATCTCTAGTTTCTGTAGACTGGATCGCATCTCAGTCTCTGCCTTTGTTTTGTGGTTTCTGGCTCCTCCTGGGATTGTTGACGCTGGCATCCAGTGATAAGACAGGGGAAACCTGTAACCCTCTGACTCTGTCCTGGCTTGAAAAAACAGAGAACTACGCTGTGCCCTGCCCCACCCCGAAATGCAGGCCTCGGGATTTCCACATCCCGCTCAGGCTCAGGCAGACAGCAGGAAAAGAAATGGCCCGAGGGACGATTTCTGGAGCCAAAAGCCTGCGTGCTGAGTCAGGGCCGTAACCAGCAGCAAACACACAGGGTACCTCTTCCAGGAAGCTGGAGCCCCCCACGCTGCCAGCGCTGGGGGAGCTGGGCATATAGGGGTCGGCGTACAAGGGGGAGTGGGGCACGGCCGGCTTCTCCAGGGAGCTGGAAGCTGTCGAGGGCTGGCTTCCCACCAAGCTCCATCTGTTCAGCTAAAAGGCAAAATTGAAACAGGAACATGACATGCTGTTCCCTACTTGCAATTCATCCCCAGGAGGGATCAGAGTGGGGAATCTCCCTGCGATTCAAGTCCCAAATGCTGCTCAGGTGGGAGGGATGGCGGGGCTGACTCCTGGCTGTAGCCGTCTGTGCCAACAAGGGGACTTCCCTGGGTCTGAGGCAGATGCACGTTCATTGAGGTTGAGGGGAGGGAAACATGGCATCACACACCAAACCAGTGATGGACACATGCTGGAAAGCCCTCAGAAGAAGAGGCTGTGTCCTATGAAGCAATAACACTCCTACTTGCAGAGCACTGCTGCTTGTGTTGCCCCAGGAATTAGCACCCAGAGACGCTGCTCCATCTGCTGTGTTTAACCTCACCTCCCATGGGCCGTTTTCAAATGGAAACGGGTTTCACGCCTGCCCTAGAGCACCTGCCAGGACAGCTATTCCTGCAAGTAGCACTGTAAGGAAAACGCGAACCGTGCACCAGTTCCTCTGCTGCTGGACCCTTCCCAGGCAGGAGGGCAGCCCCACCGCGTCCCAGCCCCTTACATTGCTCAGGTCCAGGTGTGGTGGGGGAGCCGCAGGGTGATGCTGCGAGCTGTGTGCGGAGTACGGCTCATTGTACACTGAGGACACGAGCTCGCCGTTGGGGTTTTCGGGAATGAGGCTGCAGATGGTCCTCTCCATGTCCTGGCTGGGCAGCTGCTGGCCACATTTGCCCTTGGACTTTCTGGTGCTGCCTCCCCTCCGCAGGTCCTGTGCGGGCAGCCCCGTGCTTGGCCAGCTGGCCTGTGCCAGGCACTGAAACAAGAAGACAGACCCTAGAGTTGGCTCTCGTCAGGCCAGCCCCAGGTTCACAGACCCACCTGCAGCCCATGCAAGGCATTCCCCTGCTAGGGCTGCTGCTGTGGGCATTGCGCTGCGCTCATGCATCGGCACGGTCCTGCGGCCGGGCCCGTGCCCCACGCGCTCCTCCCTGCCCACGCACACACCCCTGGACGTACGAATGCTGCACAGGGTCAGAGCAAAGGCCTGCCTAGCCCGTCACCTCCACCCACCCACGGGCTTTTACTTTGGGATTGCCTGACCCTTGAACGGTCCCATTTACCCTTTTGCAATCTGAACAAACAATCCTTATGCAGAGCGGAGTATTGGGATGGGACCCTTCAGCAGACTTTTCCTTTATCAGCAATGACAAAGTTGAACCAGGACAAATACGGGCTGCAGGCACGGATTTGCTATGCCACACAGCAAACACTGACCGTCTGAGCTCAGCCCATCTGGGCACCTGGATAGACCACTCTGCTCAAAGGCAGGGTCTGTTCCCACACATGTCCCAGGCTTTTGGGGGGGTTCACTTACATGGAGAGGCTGGGAATAGCCAGGGAAGAGGGGGTCTTCATGCACCCTGCTCTCAGGCATCAGCACGAAGGACTGTCCATCAGGGAGCGAGCCGCTGTTCTGGGAGAGGTGTGTTAAGGTGGCCACTCTCCCTGCTGACGCCCAGGAATTTGTACGGCCATCAGAAGTGAGTGACCCTCTCCCGCTGCCGGCAAACTAGATGGAGGAGAACAGCAGCACATAGGAACAGCCCTCTGCATGGCTGCAGGCACATCCCTCCCCAGCCCCATCTCCCTCCTGAGCGTCGCCGGGCCAGCCCAGCCCAGCCCAGCCCTCCGTGCCCACAAGCTGGGGTCAGACCTGGGCCTGGGCTGTGCCCGCATGGCCAGCAGCTGCCCAGGGCAGCCGTGCCCGGTGCGGCGGGGTCTGCTGCCCTCTAGGGCTGAGTGGGTGGCTGAGGCCGGCTTGCAGGGGCGACAGGGGCGAATGACAAGGGCTCGCAGCGGGGTGAAGAGTGCTCGGGCACCCTGACCCCATCCCGGCTGCAGTACTGGCAGGGTGGGTCTCCCCTGCCTTGCAAGACCCTGTTAATGTCCTTGTGCCAATGCCTCGCTGCACAACACTGTCACAGTCTATGGCCAGGGCTCTGCTTTTGAAGGAATTTAATATAATATATGCCTATATAATCATAGAATCATAGAATAGAATTGTTAAGGTTGGAAAAGACCCTTAAGATCATCAAGTCCAACCATTAACCTATCACTGCCAAGTCCACCACTAAACCATGTCCTCAAGCACCACGTCTACCCAGCTTTTAAATACCTTCAGGGATGGAGACTCAACCTGGGCAGCCTGTGCCAGGGCCTTGACAGCCCTTTCAGTGAAGAAGTTTTTCCTAATATCCAACCTAAACCTGCCCTGGCGCAGCTTGAGGCCGTTTCCTCTCGTCCTATCGCTTGTTCCTTGGGAGAAGAGACCAACCCCCACCTCGCTACAGCCTCCTTTCAGATGCAATATAGGGCTTCAAAATAATTTGCAGGGATCGGCAACTTCATGACAGCCTTTGAGCAGGGGACTTGAAGCGAAGTCTGTTGTGTCACAAGAGTACTCGTACACGGCCAGAGATAGGACAGACGGGAGTCCTGGCAGACATCTACTGATGACCACCCAAACCCACCACATCTGTTACCTGGCCGGGCTGCGGCAGCTTTGATCCTGAGAAACTCTCTGATCCAGAGAGGGAGGAGTCGGCGTTTCGAAACTGGGCTGTTTTGAGACAGTAGAGCCACTCCTGGTAATCTTCATAGCTGCGGCAGATCACCCGGATTGAATTGATTAGTCGGCCTGTAAAAACATCACTCACTGCTGTTAACGGCTTTGATCGACAGCCCGTGTTGCTTCCTTCAGAAACCCGCGGGAATCCCCTTGCTCCATCCCTCCCCACGTTCTCCCGGGATCTGGACATCCTGACACCAGTGCAGGGGCAATGGGAACGCTCTGCCTTCAGCACTGACCATTCGCATCTGGCCGAACGTAGGACAGGGGCAAACACAGGCCAGATCTAAACGAGGGGGAACCTGTGCAGCCGTGCTGCGACAAGTGCACCCCTGGGTGCAAGCGCTGCCGCTGGCTCACAGCCTCTCCCTGCCAGCAAAGCCAGGCCCTGCAGAGCAGCCAGGACACAGACAGTCCGAGATTTCCAAGCAGTTCAGTTCACAGAGCCTGGGTGCCGACGTGAGCCAGCACAGCCAGGAAGATGGCCACAGCAGCTAAGCGAAACCAGCCCGACCCCAGAGACCTCCGTGGCTGCTGCCAGCACACCCCTCGGCATGCCGGACACGCACCTTCTATTAAAAAGGAGGTTTTCTCGTTCTCTTCAAAAAGCACTTGGATGGCGTTGAGTGGCAGCTCGCCCTGTCGGAGAGAGAAGCAGGCTTAGGACCGCACAGCTGAGCGCAGCTCACAGTCCGTGCCGTGCGGCAGGCGGAGCGGGAACGACAACCGGCTCTGCCCGCCTGAGGGCTGGAGCCTCTGCAGGCACCTGGCTGGATAAACTCTGCTTCTGCAGGGGCTTTCCCGTCAGGGAAGCCACGAGGCTTTAGGAGCCTACTGCAAAGTTTTGCCAGCTGAGGTGGGAGCACGAGGAGGGGAGCGCCCAGCACAGAGCTGGCGGTGGGGACGGGGCAAGGCTGGCAGGAGCCTGGCTGCGCTTTGTGCGGCATGGGGAGAAGGTGCAGCTCGGCCCCGCTGGCAATGCCCTTGGGGTCCTCTGCAGGGAAGGGGAGGAGAAAGGGGAAGCTCGGTGCCTAAATCCCCTAGGCTAGGTCTGCAGGAGAGGAGAGGCACCCAAGCTGCTGCTAACCTAGGCGAGGACTTGGGTACCTCTACACTCTCATGGGTGTGGGGCACTGGCACGTTGGAGAACTCCGTCTCCAGCAGATTGACTCAGCCTTGTCCCAGTAAACTCACCCTCCCCACTCACAGCTCGCTCTCCCACCACCAGCCTTATTGCAGGAACGAAGCCTCCGAAGCCAGCGTGACTGCACGAGCCATTTCTGTAAGTTTTGTTCTTACAAAGTCCCGCCTGAGACCTGAGCTTGGAAAAACACTCCTTCCCTTCTAGCTCTGTTTTCAATAGTTTCCCGTAGTTTAATGGCTGACTTCTCCAGAAAATTTTGCAAACGTGGTCCTGAACAAGGTTTTAGTTGCTGGATTGAGACTTCCAGCCTTGCAAACAGGAATCCCCACAATCCATACCCTGCAAAGTCTTGCAAAGCCTTACAAAGACAGGGTTGAGCCCTGTAAATGCCAGCTGGTGAAACGTGAGCTCTTGTGCTACAGAGCACAGTTGCGGATGCCACTCCTGTGACCGGACTGGGGTCTGCCCCGGCAGGCACTGCATGTATGTTCCTATTAGCAGGTAGCTGAAGCAGAGAAGCTAAAGCAGCCTGTCCCCAGCCCCTGGAAAAACTGGAGCTAGAAGATACCACGTGCTGTTGCCCCTAAGTGCAATAGTGCTTTTGCGTGCACATCCACCACTGTCCTCTCTGCCATAACCCGGTGTCCCTTGGCCATCCCTGCATCTGCCACAGGCGTTGGCCTGTGCCAGGCCCAGCTCTCCTGTCAGCTCTGTGGGACGGGCAGGAACAGGCAGTGTCCAGACCTCTTCTGCTCCTGCAGCTGCGGCCCATCCTCAGCCCAGCATCAGAGCCCTGCCCTGCTGCCAGATGTCCTTTAAGTGCCATCGCTGCCAGTTTAATTCTCTGTGATGGGCAACCTGGCAGAAGGGCCAAGTGTTTGTCAACACTGAATTAGGATCTAGGTCTCCTCTTTCTTTGGGGGTCCCCAAGCTGAATTTTCCTTACATAAATGGAACAGGAACAGTCCTGGGAGAGCAGCTGAAGCAGATTTTGCACTGGAACCATCTCACAGATGAGCTCACTGCTTTACTTCCCTTCTCTTTCCATCTTTCCCTGAGCAGGGGGAGACTGAGACATAGTTTCTTTGTTCCTTAAGCCCCTGTTCACCTCACCTGGATGTCACCCTCACCCTGTCTGTGGGCACGCAGCACTAGGCAGGGGCAGCTGGTGGCAATGGCCCTGGGAGCAAACGCAGGGTCTGGGGAGCGCTCAGGAACAAAGTTCCCACCTCGTGCCACTCTCCCCCATGCCCGGCAGCGGAGGAAGCACAGAACGTAGGAGCAAAGCCCTGTCATTTAGCCGAAGGTCCTCTCAAAAGGTGCAACCGGTTAGGATTCATTTGCCTAAGTTTACAGCCTGCAAAATAAGGTGTCTTGCAGAACCCCCTCATCATGTCCTCACTGCAAAGCTGTCCCAGCTGCATAGGCTCTGGGGAATGTGGCTGACGTGACAGCTTTGCCACAAGGGAAACGCGGGGTGAAGCCAGGCGTCTGTGGTTTGTGCTGGCCAGCTGCCTCTCTGCAATAGCCTGTGGGCACACACAGGCTTCTGTGCTATTTCTCTTGCACAAAAAGTGATTTATGGGCTGAGCAGTACAGGAAGGCTGACCTTGGGAGGGAAAGCCCATGCAATGCTCCATGACTCGTTTTCCCCTGCTGCCATAAGAAATGGACTTTGACACTTCAACTGGCACAGGTGCTGCAAGGCTGCGTGTGCACGGGGCCAGTGCCGCCTGCTCCTGCCGCTCCTCAGCTCTCCAGCGCATTCGAGCAAGCCCTCAGGCCACCGAGGACAACTGTGCAGGGCTTCCCCCAGGCGCCCGGTGCTCCGTCCTCCCTAAGGCAACAGCCCCCTGTCCGTGGGAGCGGGCTGAAACACCCAGGGACTGGAGTCCCACCTAGGGAAGTGCAGCAGCATCCCACAAATAACATGTACATCAGCTGCAGAGAGCCCCTCCGTCCTCCCCCGGCACAGCATGAACCTGCCCCCCGCCAGCAGCTCCCCCATCACTGATTTACGCCTCGCCCAGGGCCTTTTCCCACCAGCGGTGAGCCAGAGCCTGTGCTTTGGGTGAGCGCCGTCCCGGCAGGCTCAGCCCCTGCCTTCCCCTTCCCTGTCCCACACACGAACTTGGCAGCAGCAGCTCCTGTGGTTTGTATGAAACTGAAGAACAAAAGGGCCAGGCTATTCCTTCACACACAAATTGTAGGGCTCAGCGTCTGCTCGCAGGGAAGGGAAGTTAATTTGCAGAAGCCCTGGGAGAAGGCTCCTGTGCCCTGACATGCCTGTGGAAAATCAGGTTCCCACTACAGTGTCACAGGCTGGGGGAACACCTCCCCTGCCATTACCCCAGCGAGTGAGACGCCCGGGGACCAACGCTTATGCACCGTGGGAAGGGAACATTGCACGGACAGCACAGACAAATCTGGTTTAAGGTTTCAAAAGAGATGAGTTAATCTGAGAGCCCAGCCCAAGGCCCCCTTACGTGGTGCCCCATTCCCAGGAGCTGCAAACAACATGTTCCCAAAAACAAGCTCTGTCTGAGGTGTGTTACACAAGCCACCAGCTGCTGGAAAACACCCTCCGCTGTTGCACTGGGGATGGAGGAGAGCTCTCGCTGGCAAATGTCCCTCCTCACACCCCTTCCCGTTGCAGGCACAGCCATCTCCTCTGGCCAGGGAGATGCTCTATGCAGGGCTTCCCAGGGGGTTTGAATTAAAAGCAGCCTGCATGGCTCAGGGCCTGAGGTGGACATGGTGAAATCATGTGAAGAAGGACCCCAGGGAGTTCACACTGAATTTCACAAGCCCTCAATCTCTGCAGGGTTTCCTTGTCACTGGCTCCTCTCTCAGTGACTAAGCAGCATGCTGCTCCTCTGGAGAAGCAGCTCGGCTCTGCTCCACCATGTGCCGGTGGTGCTGCACCTGCAGGTTCAGAAACAGTTCAGCGCTCTTTTTGGCACATTTGTTCTAGCACGGGAAAACAGGGCCAGAAAGCACAGGGCTGCTTAACAGCCACTGCAATGATGTCCAAGATGGATGTTGGCAATCAAGTTTAAGGGCCATTCCGACTGCAAGCAATGTAAATGCAGCTCCCAGGGCCCACAGTGCCACTGCCCGTCTGTGCTGAGGCTCCCAGCATCGCTCCTACAAGCAAAGACACACCAGTGGACTAGAGAAGCTCTTCTCACATCCCCTGGGGCACTCGGCCTCCATGTCCTTGTTAGCCCTTCCGCTGGTGTGCCCCGACATTGCTCAGGACCCTTGCTCCACACAGGGAAAGCGCAGCAAACGCAGTGCAGCAGCACGCGCCCTCTCCTCTCCGCCCGCCTGCCTTTGCCCTTCCCCACGAGCATCAGATGTGCTGCCTGGCGCTACCTGCTTTCAAGCGGTCCCGAGTGGGGCCTGGGAAGCCAAGCCCCCACGGGGGCACTCTCTGGGGCTGTTCCAGCTCCTGTCTCAAGCAAGCGAGCCGGGCTCTCCGCCAGCATAACCACACAGAAACATGCCAGCCTCCCTCCTCCCAGAGACCCAGATTCCTTGGCAGCCAGCTCCTTTCCCCTCGGGCTTTTGTAGGAGGGCAAGGTGTTTCTCATGGGAAGATAGCTTGCAATATCCCTCTGCCTGCTCACCTGCCAGCTGGCAAGGGAGCAGCGTGGAGGGAAAGCCCTTGCCAACACGAGGAGCACAAGGGAACCCAGATGGAGGGGAGCAACAAGCCAAAGAAGTGCTGAAATAGCTGCTGTGGATGGGTGAGAGAGAGCAGGAAGGTGGTCCAAAATGAACTTACCTTAAAACAGAGGCTGTTGCCCTCTTCAGATACTATCACCAGTGTGGACGGGTAAAGCACCAACAGCCGGTCATGCTGCTCCTTGGAAAGTAAAGAGGAAGAGGGATCCCTGTGAACAGCCAGACAGGGCTCAGATCTGGAGAGCCCTTTGCTTTGTCTCTCCGACAGCAGCCTGAGGCAAGGGCTCTGGAAACAGCTGAGCTGCTTCCCTGCAACTGGGCTCTGCAGGCGATTCCTGCCAGCTCCCGCTGCCAGCCCTGTCCTGCAAGTGCTTATGCACGTGCTGTCCCCAAGCACCGCTGCTGGGCCACAGGAGCAGTAACAAACCTTTTTCCATTTACCGGCATGTGGGTAAAAGGACCCACTGGATTAGTGGCAGCAGGTAGGCAGGAGTCCGCGCTACTCGCTCCATCCATTGCCTTTTCTGAGCCACGCTGACAGCAGCTTGCTCCCCAGAGATGTGTCCTACCTGGAAAGGCAGATGCTGAAGCTTCACTTTGGAAACACAGAGGACATCGCCTAAGGATTCCCGCTCCGTCCCTCTCCACTCCTGGACAGGCATGTTCTGCACGGACCACCGCAGCTCCTCCTTCCCCATGGAGCTCTGCTTCCAGTCATTCTAGGGACAGGAGCAGAACTGAGAAGCGGGGTAGACATGTCCTCCCCGAGGAGTCTAGCTAGCACATGGCCCATCTCTGGACACTTTTCAAGCACGGCAGAAGCAGGAAAGAGTAAATAAATCTGTACAGGAGCCAGTTTTTCAGCTGGGACTGAATAATCATACTTGATACCTAGCATCATCTGCACGTTGCCTTTCAAAGGGGAATAACTCTGTTTTACGAGTGGGAAGATGGAGAAAGGGAGGGAAGTAAAACGCCCCACAGAAAGCGGAAGAGAAGACAGGTTTCTTGAATCTGGTCCTGTTTTCTAAGCCCTGGTCCCAGTCTCCTCCTCCAAATGTTTTGTAAACTCCAGATAATTGTGCATGCATCCAACTGTGTGAGAATTTCTCTGAACCAGACCCAAACCTCTGACCCTTCAGAGGCTGGGGTGGTGGCACTCTGGGTCGCAGGTCTGCCTTTCAGCACGCGTGCCCTGCCCGGCCCCTTGCAAAGCCTTTCTGTTTGCACCCTTCCCTCGCAGGAGACTGCACAAAAGGCAAGCTCCAAAATTAGAAGCTGTGTGCGCACACACACGCAGCAGAAATGCAGCAAGCTGTTGTTGGGTCTCAGCAGTACAGAGCACCTTTGGGGTTGCCACTCAGCCTGAAATCCCACACTCACTCGGGCGCTGGTTGCACAGACCCAAGACCCTAAGGCCATCTGAACACAAATACACGGTTCCTCCACAGGCAGAGGAGTTCCCAAGCAAGTACATGTCTGTCAAGCATGGGTAATTAGCATGTCTATCCATGGTTATTTTAGGGGTGGCGGAATAACTAAAGAAAGCAGAGATTATCCCTCCCACTGAACACAGCAGGAGCAGAGCATCCACCCAACTGGCCCAGCTTCCCCGGTCGTTCAGCTCTGAGCCCACAGCACGGGAAACGGCTGTGCCCCTCACCATCCTCAGACACTAACCTCAGAGAGGAAAGGCAAGCCAAAGCTTCCTCCATTTAGCTGGATCTGTTTCTCCAGGTGATAAAGCCACTGCTTCAGCTCTGCCTCAGTAGGGCAGAACACAACAAGGGGATTCAGCAGAGGACCTAGGTATGCAAGACACAAGATGGGCAGAGCAGATAAGGGCACCAATTGCAACATCAATTAGCTGGCCAGAGCTGTTATGCTCGGCACATCACACCATGGGTTGCCTGGAGCACATTGCCTTCACGTCGTCGGGCTGCTGGGGAGCTCCCCAGCAGGGACTGCTCCAGCGCCTTCTCACCGCCTGCTCACACAGCCACACCTCGCTCTGACTACCAGTCACTCTTCAGTCCAAAACCAGGCCAAGAACAAAAATCAAAGGCAGTACGAAAGTCAAGCTTGAAAGCAAGAACCAGATTTCAGCTTTAAAAGTCCCCAACAGTTTGTGAAAAGCATCTCTGCGGGCAGAGACTATCACAGCGTGCTGCTGCAGACAGCCTAACTCAACGCAAAAGTTTTGTGCTATTTCTTAGTTTCACTTTGGTACTCAATATGTAGAACATCGGTAGCTTTCTGACACTATTTATTTATTGCTTCATCAAATATAATCTGTGCCAGACAAGCTGAAGCTGCCCTCGGACATACTCTTGAAGGGAGGCACAGCCCTATATCTTATTGATTTTAATGTTTCCAGCTATCATTCGCTTAGTAGCACGAGCAAAAAAGTCTCACACACCCTCTGCTACTCACTACAGACATAACCTAGTGATGTTAATAATAATTTCTGGCAGGCTGTAGAATTTATGTTATGATTAATAATTTACCGGTGATCTCACATTAAACCACACTTGGTGCATGCTCAGTAAGATCGGTCTTTGCGGGCCTTGGAAGTATTCAGATAAGCAAGTGCACTGGATAAGCATGATACTTTGCCCTTCTGTGGAGCCTTTTATCCCATAATTCCTGCGTTATTTATGAGCAACAGTTAATTAAGACTTTGAAACACCTCTGTCTGTCAAGAAACGCACTAGTAGAGACAAAACAGAGGTGGGGAAACTGAGGCAGGGACTCCCTGAGTGACTTTCCATAAGCCACTCCATTCAGCCCCATTACAGTAATTAGGTGTCAAGCACTACTGGGCATCCAAGTGTCTGTGTACCACTGTGGCTCTGGAGCTCTCTTGTCTCCGCTTGCCTTGGTTTCCCTGTCTTTGCAATGGAGATAAAGTGATTCCCTTTACTTTACAGAGCTGCTAGGAGGGTATAAGGGTGTTAACGTTATCTGTTCTGGCAGCTTTGGATACTTCTCTGGGCATCCATGCCCTTATACAAACAG